GTGTACCTCCATACTCACCCTGACATTTAGCCTCTTAATTAATTGCTTGTGTTACAAAACCCCAAAAGTTCCTTTGAGGGGTGGGGGGTAGTTGGAGAGATGACTCAGTAGTTAAAAGGGCTTGCTGTTCTTCCAGAGGGCCCTAGTTCGTTCCCAGCACCCACACCAGGCAGCTCACCACTGCCTGTAACTCCAGCTACGAGGATGTGACACCCTCTTCCGGCTACAGCACATGCACATGCACAAACACACACACACACACACACACACACACACACACACACACACACAAATAAAAATAAATCTTTTTTTAAAAGATGCTGAGGAATGATGGCTGACAGTGATTTTGCTTTTCTTTTAATATTTCTTTTATTATTTTTATTTTGTGTATTGCCTACATGTAGGCAGGGGGACCCATGTTGTGCAGTGCCCATGGAGGTCAGAAGAGGGCATTGGTTCCCCTGGAACTGGAGTTATGGGTGGTTGTTAGTCACCATGTGGGTGCTGGGAACCAAACCCAGGTCCTCTGCAAGAACAGCCAGTGTTCTTAACTGCTGAGCCATCTCTCCAACCCCAAGATTTTATTTAGTATTTTTATTTTATTTTATTTTTATGTGTATGAGTGTGTTGCCTGCATGTATGTAAGTGTACCTGTGTTGTGCAATGCCCACAGAAGTCAGAGGGGGGTGTCAAATCCCCTGGAGCTGGAGTTACAGATGGTTATTAGGAGCCATGTGGGTGCTGGGAACTGAACCTAGGTCCTCTGCAAGAGAAGCCAGTGTTCTTCATGGCTGAGCCATCTCTCCCTCCCCACCCCCCCTTTTTTTTTGAGTCAGGGTCTCACTATGAAGCCTAGAGTGACTTCATATTCATGACAATCCTTCTGCCTCAGCCTCCTGGGTGCTAGGATTTACAGGCATGCATCCCCCACTCCTGGCTGACAGTGGCTATTACTGAGAACTGTGATGACTATGCTTTGTGCCTTTGCCCCTCAGCAGAGAGACTTGCATGTCCCCTGCCCAGGAATCCCTTCCTCCCAATGAGGGTTCCTGTTTTCATGGGTTACCTGGCAGGCCAGGCAGTGCTGGGCAGGTCCAGGCCCAAGTTCTCATCACTGGTACTTTGCCTCCGCTGTGTCAGGTCTCCTCCCTTTTCTCTTTTCCCCAGACACAGATTAATCACAAGCTAACAGGAGCCGAAAGCTGCACAATGCAGGCAGCTTTGCAGGGTGGATTTTTCTGCCTTTCTTTCAGCCCTGATGAGATTCCTATCTCTGTGGCATCTGCTGGCTAAATCAAATCTTTCAAAGGTAATCCACCATCATGGCTCCTGGAATTCATCTATGACAATCCAATTGCAGAGGGGACATTTAAGAGGCCTGACACCCAAGCACTGTCCTCAAGGTGACTGTGCTGTGAAGGAGTAATCTTTTGTGTGCTGCACAGAGCTGATAGAGGGAACAAAGTGCAAGGAAGTGCACCAGCCCAGCTCCTTTCCAGGCTGCATGACTGTACAGAAACCCACTAGAGGGGTCAGGGGACTGAGCAGGGAGAGGCTGAGGCACAGCTGGGGACCAGGGCTTTCTTTGGCTGGGGTTAGAGTCCTATGTCTCCCCAGAAAGATGCTGAAGATCTGAAGCTGTGGTTTGTCGCAAGTCTGTGGAAGTTTGCCACAAACGAGGCAAGGCTTCTGGGAGCTGGGTAGGAGCTTCACTTCCAGAAATAAGAAGTTTCCCCCACTGATGCAAAGTGTTGGACAGACTGGGAGATAGGTGTAAAGAGAAGGGCCTGTACGTTTTATTAGACACAAGTAGGTCTGCATCCAGGACCCAGGGCAGCCAACCGTTGCCCATTATTTGCAACTTAACTGTTTTAAGATTAGGAATTACAGGTCTTTCATTTCTTTCTTTCTTTCCTTCCTTCCTTCCTTCCTTCCTTCCTTCCTTCCTTCTCCTTCCTTCCTTCCTTCCTCCTTTTTTATCTTTCTTTTTATGAGATGGGATGGGGGTGTCAGGTAGCCTAACTTGGCCTCAAACTACATAGTCAAAGATGACCTTGAACTTTGGATCCTTTTGCTTGTACCTCCCAAGTGTTGAGATTATAGGCATGAGCCACCATGCCCCATTTATGCTGTGCTGGGCATTGAACCCAGGGCTATATGCATGCTAGGCATGCATTCTGCAAACTTAGCCACATTCTTAGCCCTAAGCCTTTATTTATTATTTATTTTTGAACCTTAAGAGAAGGCTCTACAGTGAGTCAAAGGCTCATGGGAGAATAGGGGCTAAACTGTGTCTACACAGAGGAAGAGACTTGCTCTCTACATTCACGAGAACAAAGTCAAGGGCAGTATGAGTTCAATGAGACCAGAGGCTCACATCTCAGACCTCTTGCCTTCTCTACCCTACCTGGATGTTTAACACTGACTGGAAACATGTTTGGTGGTGAGAAGGGGACTGCTACAGCATCTAGTTGGTAGAAGCCAGGGACCCTGCTAAACATTCTATAGAGCACATGACAGCCCCATGTAACTGCTGGCAAGGTGAAATGCTGGAGACAGATTGAGCAAATACTTTGTATCAGCACCTCAGTCATGGGACAACATGCCAAGAGACGGGCAAATATTTAAAAAGCAAAATGGGCTGGGTGTGGTGGCACACGCCTTTAATCCCAGCACTTGGGAGGCAGAGGCAGGCAGAAGATCTCTGTGAGTTCAAGGCCAGCCTGGTCTACATAGTGAGTTCCAGGACAGCTGTGGCTACAGGGAGACCCTGTCTCAAAAAGACCCCCCCCCCAAAAAAAGCAAAATGGGACAGACATCAGCTAATGGATGGAGCACCTAGAAGGATATACCAGTTAAGACAAATCCAGTGATGCTTGTCATGGAACACTGAGATAGTGGTGACAGAGATTGCCAGGGCAGGTTGTTGGTGACCTCAGGGGTTCAGGTTTGGGACCAGGCTCAGGGGGTGGTGCTTTGGATTCTTAGCAGCCTGCCTGGGGCTGGGCTGGCAGGCACCCTCTGATGCCCCATGCCTAAGAAGTGTTCCTGCTTCCCAGTCCCTGAAACATGACGCACGTTAAAGACAGTAAAGCAAATAATCATTAATATTGGATGGGCTGAGATTAGCGATGGAGAAGAGGGAGTCCTTCCAGATTAATAATGCATAGAGGACTCCTTCAGTGAAAAGATAAATTATGCAGGGCACTGTTGCTCAGGCAGGAGAGGAAAGCAATAGCTCTTTAATTTGGGGTTTTAGGTTGCTCTCTGTGGTGGGGATTCTTCCTCAATGGGGATCCCAATAGCCACCTTGCTTCCTGTTCCAGCAGGAATGTGGTGGCCCCATGCTTTCCTCCACCTTGGAGTATGTGAGCCAGTTGATCATTCCCTGTCCAGTCATGTGGTGGGACCTCTGTATTTAGAGGCTTAAACCTCTCATACTATAAGGTCAGTTCAAATGGTACTTCTTTCAGGATGCCTTCCCTGACCAATATAGTGGTTTACTGTGAACTTTCTTGCGCTTACCCTAGGTCATAGTGACTTGGACACATGTTGGGACCCAGTAGAACCAGTCACATATATTTCCATCCTAAGATTTTCTAACCTCTGGCCTTGGGTGTGCTCCACATTTAATGGTATGACATGGTTTGGTTGATGGGATTTCCTTGTCCAACAAGACATAAAGAGGGCTGTAAGTCACTACTAGTGCTGCCTCACATTTCAAGAATGTGCTAGAAAACACCCAGTGTGGATGAGCACTCATACTCTGAGGTCCTAAGGGCTAGACTGGGCTTGTTCCTCATGGCCCTGTTCTGCCCTGTGGGCTCTCCATGTTGGTTGAATGAATAACAGAACACAGAGATGCTCAGGTCATATGGAGTCCAGTTGTCTTGACTCCAGGACCTCTCTGCACAGTTCCGAGATGCTCTCCTTTCTGAGTACCACCCCCGCCACTCAGTTCCAGGGACTATGAGATCATTCTTGCCTGAGCCATGACTCATGCTAAGATGCTTCTGCTTGCAGTGACCCAAGGCTCCAGGGTGATTTGTGAAACATCAAGTGCTAGAGGTGGAGAGGAGCCTGGGGTTTACCATGTGGCCTCAGAGCTAGGCTGCAGAGCTAAGGTGATCTTTGTCCAGTCAACAGCACAGCATCCACCTCCTGGGCCAGCTTGATCTCCTATAATGTTCCTGGGCTGGGGAAAAGGCTGCTTCCCCACCCTCTACTATCCCATAAATATGCAGCCAAGCAGAGGGCTGTGTGGCGTCTCTGGGGCTGACAGCCCTATTTATTAATAGAAGGCAGGGCTAGCAGGAGTGGGAGGCTGGAAGGAAAAGGGGTGGAAGAGGAGGCTGGGACCTCTTGTATCTCTGCTTCCTAGCCTCAGCCCTCTCCAGAATCAGGAGAGGGACCTGCTTCTGCCCATATGTCCCCAAGCTACTATGGGCAGAGATGCAGGGAATGGCTGACCCCTTGCCAAGGCTGAACCCTGCCCATCCTGCTCTTTCACCTGGCTAGGGCTTCTAGGAAAGTCTAGAAAGTCCTCGGATAGGCCTTCTATAGCACTAGCTCCTGCTTCTAATTAGATGCTCAATGTGAGAAGTAGTCTCCAGGATATTCCACCAGCCATGGTACGCTGAGCCCTGTCATCCTAACCCATCCTGGCCCTCAGGATTGTTCCTATTTCGTGTCCCTATGGGTCACCAGGCTGCCTCCTCACTCCTGTGTGAGAGTTCAGATTGATCCATTGTGAAGTGTGGGCAGCTGGGCATGGCAGATAGAGGTAGGTGACCTAGGGTCTAGTCCTGACTCTAGATGGGTGGCCTTGGCCTTCACCTTTCATCAAAGAAATTAAGGCATTGATGGCTGAGGTCTCCCATCTGGGTTCTTTTCCCATCTGGTTGGATGGTTACTCTGGAGGTAGGACCATGGCCTGGGAAGTCCCCTCCCCACCCACCCACCCTGCTCCTGCCCCTGGTTCACCTGTCCCCAGCTCATACCTGATAGTGTTGTCTGTGTCACAGGGGCAGGGCAAGGTGCAGCCTGGGCCATGCAGGCCTTCGGGGCACAACCGCTCCTGGCAGCTAGGGCCCTTGTAGCCAGGTTCACACTCACAGGCACCTGTGGTAGGTGAACACTGGCCTCCGTTATGGCAGTCACAACGCTGGGAACACTGGAAGCCAAAGGTTCCGAAGGGGCATTCCTCTTGGCACCTGTGGGAGAGCAGAGCTGTGGGCTGGAGGCCTTGCCTAGCCTTCTAGGTGCATCTGTGGGGCAGAGCTGTGGGCAGGAGCCCTTACCTGACCTCCCAGATGCACCTGCATGGCTCCCTCATCACTTCTAGGCCTGGCCTTGCCTGGCCTGTTCCATCCCTCCCAATCTCCTCCCCTTCTCCAGGAAGTATCATGGAGTTCTTCACCCCAGGTCTTTTCAGCAGCTCAGCAAGAAGCTTGTACGATTAAATGACACTGATGCTAAGCCTCACATTTCTTTTTCATTAAAAAGAAATTGTGATAAAATACATGCGCTGTGGTTTAAATGTTTATGTCTCTTTCAAAATTCATGATAAAAGTTTTTTGTTATAAATTATTTATATTTAGAATAGAGTCTCATGTGGCCCAGGCTGGCCTCAAATTCACTATGTAGCTAAGGATGACCTTGAACTAATTCTGCCTCCATCTCCTAAGTGCTGGGATTATGCCACCATGCCTGGGTTATATGGTGCTAGGGAAGGAACCCAGGGCTTTGTGCATGCTAGGCAAGTACTTTTACCAACTGAACTACAACCCTGGTCCTTCATGATGAAACTTAATTCCAACATAACAGTATTAAGAGGTGTTGTCTTTTAAAAAAATTTTTATTTATTTTTTAAAATAAAATTTTATGTGTATGTGTTTTAAACCTGCATGTGTGTAAGTGCACCTGTATTGCAGGGCCTGCAGAGGACAGAAGAGGGTGTTGGATCCCCTAGAAATGGAGTTACAGATGGTTGTTAGCACCCAGGTAGGTGCTGGGATTTGAACCTGGGTCCTCTGCAAGAGCAACCAGTGCTCTTAACCACTAAGCCATCTCTCCAGCCCCTAAGAAGTATGGTCTTGCTGTGTGGTGGCTCATGCCTTTAATCCTAGCACTTAGGGATGTAGAGGCAGGTGAATCTCTGTGAGTTTGAGGCCAGCCTGTTCTACGTAGCCAGTTCTAGGCCAGCCAGGGCTACATAGTGAGACCCTGTCTCAAAAGAAGAAAAATTTTAAAAAGACCACAAAGGTTCTTCCCTATGAATGGAGTAGATCAATGCTCTCTCTTTTTGTGAAAAAAAAATTATTTATGTGTATTTGTGTGTGTGTGTGTGTGTGTGTGTGTGTGTGTGTGTGTGTCTATGAGAACATGCATGCGAGTGCCTGAAGTGGCCAGAAGAGGGTGTCAGATCACCTGGAGCTGAAGTTATAGGTGGTTGTGAGCCACCCAACCTGGGTGTTAGCAACTGAACTCTAGTCATCTGCAAAAGCAGCAAGCACTCTCAACTGCTGAGCCATCTTTCCATTCCCTGATCTGATCTCTTATGAAAAGGCTACAGGGAACTAGCTAGGTTCCTTCTATCACCTGAGGACACAGCAGTCAAGGTGTCTCCTTGGAAGCAGTAACTAAATCTGCTGTCACCTTGAACTTAGCTTCCTAGGCTACAGAACTGTGAGAGCCAGCTGCTGTATTTATAAATTACCAGACCTTGATATTTTGTCATAGCAGCATGAACAGACAAAGATGATGTATAATATAAAATTCACCATTCACAACATCAAGTGTGGCTGAGTGGCATTAAATACATTACATAGGCATGCAATGATTCTTACCATTCATCTTCAAACTGGTTTCATCTTCAAACACTAAAATACCAAAGCCGTTAACAATAGGTTTTCTGCTTTAAAATGTATTTTAGCATCTTTGAAATCAGATAAAGCTTATAATGGATGTCATGTCCTGGCTTAATTATCAGTGTTTTTCATTCTGAGCAGTATATAAAAAGATGCATCTTATAGTCAGTAGCAGTCTGGAAAAATGAAGTAGTCTTTCATTTTCCCTCTCTTTGAAACAGGGTCTCACATGGTCCAGGTTGGCCTTGAACTCACTGTATAGCCAAAGATAACCTTGAACTTCCTCCTGCCTCCACTTCTCAAGTGCTGGGGTTGCAGACATGCATCACCATACCCAGCTCATATGGTGCTGGGGATCCAACCCAGGGCTTTATGCATGCGAAGCATCATAGTGCTGTACCAACTGTTCCACACCCCCAGACCAGGTTTCATTGTTATACACTGTGTTTTCTGAGCCTCTTAAGTTTTTGTTGTTTAAGACAGGGTCTCGCTCTAGTTAAAAATGTCTTGACATTCACTATGTAGTCTGGGCTGACTGTGACCCATAGTGACCCTCCTGCCTTAGCTTCTAAAGTGTTTGGATCATAGACATGAGCCACCACACCCAGCTTTGTTTCTTGTTTTTCTAAGACTGCATCTTGCTTGTGGTTCTACTAGCCTGGAACTTACTATATAGCCCAGACTGGCCTTGAATTCATAGCAATTACCCTGCCCCAACTTTCTGAGTGCTGGAATTACAACTGTGTGCTTTTCTGAGTCTTGGGCAGAAGGCTTTTCTCCTGTCATCAGGGGCAATATGTCTCTTCCCTCAGGGTAGAAATTCCCTTTATGCTTGCACATGCTCCAGTGAACTGGCACTGGGCACTCCAGGCATTGTGGGAATTGCTCTACTTCATTAGCCTCCTAGCTGTGGGATGTGGATCCTCCCTGTGATCTGCTGCTGGCTGCCTGGCTTCCTGAATGTGCCTCAAAATCCCTCCCTGTAATCCAATGTTATTTCCAAGAGAGTAAAAGTTCATTGTCACAACAACAGATCCTGGGGAAAGAAGGTATATCCTGGGGGCAACTCCCACCTTGGAGGGAAATGGTCTTTGAGGTTTTGGATTATCTGTTTCTCAGCTCTGCTTCAGTAATACAGATAAAGGGGAGCTGACTTAAACTTCTGATGGCCACTTTCTCATCATAAAATGAATTAGTAACTAACCTTCAGATTGCTTGAAGATTAAATAAGATAATGTTGGGGACTGGAGAGAGGGTTTATCGGTTAAAAGCACTTATTGTACTTGGGAGGCAGAGGCAGGCAGATCTCTGTGAGTTCAAGGCCAGCCTGGTCTTCATAGTGAGTTCCAGGACAGCTGGGGCTACAGGGAGACCCTGTCTCAAAAAGACTACAAAAAAAAAAGCACTTACTGCTCTTGAAGAAGATCCAAGTTTGGTTTCTAGCACCCATGTCAGATAGCACACAACTACCTTCAGCTCTAGCTCCAGAGGATTCAATACCTCTGGCCTTTACAGGCACCTGCATTCACATGCATATACCCCCCTATATATATATATATATTTCCCAGGAAGGTACCCAGGAGACTTTTAGAGCCCAAAGAGTAATGTTAGTCATTATTATTACTCTTATAAAAAGATTCATAATATTTTAAATTATAAATTATGTATGTGTCAGGAGTCTGTGTGTGTGAATGCAGGTGCCTGTGGAGGGAGGCCTGAGATTCCCTGGAGCTGGCATTACAGGGGTTATGAGATGCTTGATGGTGCTAGGAACCAAACTCAAGTCCTCTGCAAGAGTAGTATGTGCTTTTAACTACTGAGCCAGCTCTCCAGTCCCTGATATTACTCTTGTTAATGGTTTTGCTATAGTTCTTAAAACATAGCCTGTCTGACTTTCTGACCTTAGATTCTGGCATGAAAAGGCTCAAAAAAGTAGAATTTGGAAATGTTAACAGTAGAATGGACTTGAGGAATTATGAAGTATTTTAATTATTGCTCAGGTGGAGGTCAGAGGACAAATTGTGGAGTCAGTTCTTTCCTTCCACTTTTATGTATGTTCCAGGGATGGAACTCAACTCACCAGGCTTTGAGAAGTAGACACTTCTACCTGCTAAGCCATCTCACCCCCGACCCTAATATATTGCTATGTAACCAAGGCTGACTTTGAACTCATTCTTCTACCTGTTGGGATTACAGGTAAGCACCACTATACTAGGTTAATGCAGTTCTGGGGATTGAACCCAGGGCTTTGTGCATGTCAGGTGAGCACTCTTATTAACTGAGCTACATCTTCATTTGTTATTTTTTTAAATGTAGCCATAACTTTTTGGAGGCTTGTTCTTCCCCACTGATAGGGCAGGGTAAGCTCAGTACCAACCAGAGTGGACTTCAGAAAACTACATGGGAGATAAGAGCAGCCAGAGTGCTGGGAACTAGCCTCAGCAACTTGAGACCAGGTGCCCCTGCCTCTGTCCTTGCTGTTCTATGCCCACAGTGACAGGAGAACAGGCGAGTGACTGGGATCTGGCTTTCAAGCTTCTCTCAAGGGAGATGTACCAGGGTTCCCTCTCAGAGAAGAAACTTGGCTAAAGGGAGCTGATGGGGAATGATGGCTAGGGCTCCCAGAAGTTCCAGCCAGAACCCTGTCCCCAGCCTCAGAGACAGCAAGTATCCTCACTTTGCAGTTGAGGAGGTCCAGGCAAGACAGGCGAGGTGACTATCCCAAGCCCACACAGCCTACAGGTAGCTACAAGGATAGGGCTCATCCTCCTGCTAGTTCTGTTGCAGGTCAACCAAGCTGAGGTTTGGGGAAGAGAAAGGATGGAAGAGAGATGGAGGAAGGGGATCAAAGGGAAGAGTGCCTGGGAGAGGACTGGAAGGTGGCAGGCAGAAAGGAGGAAGGGGCTTGGAGGAGGGTATGAGGGGAAAATGAGATAGTGTGAAGATCAAGAATAATTAAAGATCTGCAAAACTATTATCTGAACTGCCAGTCTCTGCTGAGCCTCAAAACAGATTTCTCCACAAACCTTTGAGTTTTGGTGACCTCTGATATCTCTGACATCAGTAGAAAAACCGCACAGAGGAAAATACCTGCTCCGTGCATCGGAACATCCCTGCTTGTTCCTGCCCAGCAGGACAGACACAGCCCAGACCCAGAGCTGCTTTGAAGAGTATTTCTCCATCTGGCCATATTTAGGGGGTAGGGGTGGGGGGAACTAAATCTATGGGCCCGGGAAAAAAATTCTAGAGATGAAATAGTGACAATGTAATTCATTTCCATAATCAGTCTCTTTTTACTTTTTTTTTTCCTATTCACAATTTAAACAACTTATTTATTTAGAGATCAAGCAACGACTGCTAATGAATTTTACACAAAGCATGCTAATAATGGGGCCCATGGAACAGAAGGGTAATCACAGTAGGAATTAGTTTTCTACTTAAACACCCTTCCTTTACAACATATCAATCTAACGTGTCCGATATCACCATTAACAACCAGATACATTGTGCAATTAAATTACAAGTTACATTTCGTGTTTAATTTGCACTGGATTCCACCTATCCAGGGAGGCCTGCATTATTATATCTGCTCAGCTTTAATATGCTCATGATAATTTGGGGTGGGCTAATGCAGCTGTCACCTACAAAATTAATGGAGGCAATTTTACAAAATATTAAACACCAGGCAGCCTGTTGAGGCGGAAAAGCCAAATGCTCCCAAGGTGGGCTGGGGAAACAAGCTAGAGGGCTCCTAGTTTGGGGGCTTTGCTCTGGGATCATGGGCAGGACTCTGAGAAGAGATACTCGGGACTGTTTCTGCACTTGGTGAACCCTGAGGGCCAATGGGGTAGGTCTGGTGCCCAGTAGCTTGCTAGAGCCCTGGGTGCTTGTTCCCAACACACAAATGAGGGCTGGATTAAAAGAGTCCTCTTCTGGATCAGGGTCTTCATGCACCACCGGTATTTCCTTATCTTGGGATGGAGGTATAAGGGGAAGGTAGACCTAGCACTTAGTCCTCCATCCCAAGATAAAGAAATACTGGTGGTACGTGAAGACCCTGATCCAGAAGAGGAACAAGCAGAACACACCCTTAATCCCAGCTCTCAGGAGGTAGGGGCAGAAGGATCAGAAATTCAAGGTCATCCTTGACTACACAGTGAGTTTGAGGCCAGTCTGGGCTACTGTCTCAACCAGACAAATGAATGAATGAACAAACAAACAAACAGGAAAGGACTCATTGGGTGACTCAGCCTTAATCCCTGCTTCCTTGATGTCACACAGAGACCTGGGAACAAATACCTCTTCTCGCTCTGTCTGGGAAGTCCAAGGAGCTAGAGGTGAAGTGTGGATCCACCTGTACAAAGCCAGGCAAAGCACGGGGTCTCTCCTCTTCTCTGTCCCTCTGGCTGACTGTGGTGGAGGAAGGGGATCTGGCCTAGGGTCTGTGGATAAATGCCTTCCTCTAGCTCCAGTTCCACAGGCCATCAGATACATAGGCCTTTCTTCTCCCTCTTCTACCTCACCCACCCTGTTCCCATGGCGGCCTTCTTCCAACTGGTGCAAATGTGCCCAGATGGTAATTCCCCAGTTATGTGTCTCATCGCTGTCCCCTTTGCCAGTTTGGCTTCATTCTAGGATACAATGCCCCTGTCCAGCCTGCTCTCAGGCCACAGGTCTCCAGACCACACAAACTGATGCCAGTGTCTTTTGGAGGGAACTCAATTTTGGAATAAAAATTCACTTCTAGAAGAACGTGTGTAAGATGTGGTCACTGACACTGCTCACTTGGCTCCTTTGGAGTCTCTGAGTCATTGTGTCCCTCTGTTAGTAAGACAGAGATGGGCTAGTACTCATCTCCTTCCCCAGGGAGGTTAACCCAAGTTTAGGGCAGCCAGGCTGGGGAATGGGTATGCTTTGCTCTCACAGAGTGAGCTTATAGATGTTCTTGTTAGGACTCAGAATGTCTTCTGAGAAAAGAGCCAGAAGGCTGGCCAGGGGTACTGTGGGCTGGTTATCCTTCAGCTGCTCTCTTTAAGGCTACCGAGAATAGGAGCAACTGAACAGTGAGGCCAAGAGTTAATGCCATCCTTACCTGTCCCCCATGTATCCGGCTGTGCAGTGGCACTGCCCAGTCACATGGTCACACTGGCCTCCATGGTGGCAGGGACAGTCCTGGCTGCAGTTCTGGCCAAACGTTCCCGGTGGGCAGGGCTGGGCACATACGGCTCCCTGAAACAGAATTGAGGACAGGCTTGGCAGGGCACCAAAGATGTATGTGGAGGAGGTCACCTCTCCTAGGAATGCTGGGGCCCCAGGGGTCACCCCAACTTCCCAGTGTAAGCACGAGAGTTGGGCACTCGCCTTACAGATAGGGCCACGGAGGCCAGTTCGCTTGCTCATATCATTCAGCATACAGTTAACAAGTGCCTGCTATACATTAGGTACTGTATTAGATACCTGGGGTATAAAGATCAAGTAAGATTTGATTGCTGTCCTCCTAAGGTCCCAGGGAGACAGTCAAGGGAGTTAAGTGGAGCCGAAGACACTCACATGGGATCAAGGAAGAGCTGAGCAGACACAGGAGCACCCTCAATTGAATCTAAGTTGAACATCCCCCTGGGGAGACACATTTAACTTCATGCCTTTCCCAAACTCAGCAGCCATCACAGTGGAGGACCCAAAGGTAGTGTGGGAGGGGAGAAAGGGAGGAAAGGGGAAGGGGAAGGGAGGAAGAAGGAGAGAGGAGTGATAAGGAAGTAGGAGGAAAGGAAATGGGCAATATGGCCCCCAGCAGGGAATCTCATTGCACATTTTTATATAGATAAAGAAATGTCCATCAAGGTCTTTAGAAAGAGGAAAACAATCACATACACAAACAAGAAATCAAGTTGCTAGACCTCTTAGTCAGAAAATCAAAAGACAATGCAGCAATATCTTAATATTTTGGAGAGGAAATAATTTTTAATATAGAACTACATGCCAAGAAGGGGTAGGGGTTCGGCTCAGAGGCATAGCATTCACCTAGGATGTACAAGGCCTGGAGTCCCAGCACTACAAAAAAAAATAAATTTTAAAACCCCCAAACCTTTTTGTCTAGGACTCCACACCAGAACCAACATCTGAGCAGGGGATTCAATGGAGGCCTTTATAGACTTGAACCTCAAAAACAGTAACCCTGCATGGATGCTTTCTTAGATAACTACTAGAGAATTTTTTTTTCTTTTTCTTATTGCTTTTTTTCATTAAAAAGAATTATCTAGGGCTGGTGTTGCAGCTCTAGATAAAATGCTTGTCTAGCATGCATGAAGCCCTGGGTCTGATCCTCAGTACCACATAAACCAGGTGTGGGGCACACAGCTATAATTCCAGCACTGGGGAGGTAGAGGCAGGAGAATCAGACATTCAAGGTCATCCTCAACTACATAGCAAGCTTGAGACCAGCCTGAGATACATGAGACCCCATCTCAAGAAAAAAGACGAATGTGTGGTGGGGTGGGGGTGGGACTAGAGAGATGGCTCAAGGGCACTAGTTTTGGTTCCCAGAACCCATGTCAGGTGGCTCATAACTGCCTACTAACTCTAGCTTCAGGGAATCTGATGCCCTCTTAACCTCTTCAGGCACCTGCATACACATATACACATAAATAAAAATGTAATTTTAAAAATTAAATTTAAGCTGAGCGTGGTGGCGTACACCTTTAATCCCAGCACTTGGGAGGCAGAGGCAGGTGGATCTCTGTGAGTTCAAGGCCAGCCTGGTCTACATAGTGAGTTCCAGGACAGCTGGGGCTACAGGGAGACCCTGTCTCAAAAATACAAAATAAATAAATAAATTAATTAAGTAAATACATAAATAATAAATTTTAAAAGAGTTATCCAGGACAAAGAAAGGCATGGGTTCTGAGAACTAGGGACCCCAACAGCAAAGAGAAAGGGAGGGAATGCCAGGACGGTGGTGAGTGAAAGCCCTGGATGATAGGATAGCCACAAAGTGTGGTGAGCAAAGAGCTCACAATGGAATATAAGCATGCAGCATTCTGAGAGCTGCCTCAGAAGACAAAGGCAAAAAACAAAGCAAAACCTTATGTGTCTGATGGAAATGAGTTTTAGACTTCTGCTGAAGAGTTGTAGAGATAAATTAGTAACAATATACATGTGGGGGTATTAGCATAAATGTCATAAATGATGTAACCCCAAGTTGTAAGTAACACCCCTGGGAGGTTAGGACTGCATGTGCATGCCCGTGTGTGTGTGTGTGTGTGTGTGTGTGTTAGAGCTAAATCTTTTTTTTTGCATTTTTGTATATATGTATATATGTATGTATGTATGTATGTATGTATGTATGTATATATGTGGGCATGTGTGTGCCATGATGTGTGTGTAGATGTCAGAAGACACTTGTGGAAGTCAGTTCTCTCCTTCCACCATGTGGGTCCCAGGGATCCAACTCAGGTCTTCAGGACTGGTTGCAAGTGCCTTTACCCACTGAACGATTTCACTAGCCCCTAAATCTTATTCTATAACAGGAAGTCAATAGACTAAACAAATGTCTAAAATGAAAAGGTCAAGAAATGGCAGTAAAGAATGTTAGGTAGAAAAATAAAAGGAGATGCTTGAAGAAACATCTAACAGAATTGCAAGTGCTTGCCTTTAGGGCTGTTTTTGCTATTCCCTCCAGTATTAGCCTTGTGGTATATATCTTTAAAACTGTACATACAAGGGGCTGGAGAAATGGCTCAGTGGTTAAGAACACTTGCTGTTCTTCCAGAGGACATGGGTTTGATTCCTAGCACCCACATGGTAGCTAACAACCATCCATAACCTAGTTCCAGGGGATCCAACACCCTCTTCTTGCCTCTAAGGGGATATGCACTTACATGTAGACAATACACTCATACACATAAAATAAAAGAATTAAAGAAAAACTATACATGGAAATCTTAGCTCTTCATCAAACTGACATCCCAGCCTAGCCTTATCTCTGGTCACCCTTCCAGCCACATGCCAGAGATAATTATTTCTATTACGGAGACTAAAGATGATCCTCCAATTAATTAATCAATTTGTTCAACACACAGTTGTTAAGCACTAATAATTGCCAATCCTGAAGAAGCTAGTTCAGTTAAGAAAATCCTGCCAGACCACAGCCATCTTTTCAGGTAATACAATTCAGTTGTAAAGAATTAAGTGGGAGACTTTCAGCTCAGATTTCTCCTCTGCATACACTGAGAATTAGGCTCTGAGAGGACAGTCTGTGGGGCAGAGAGGGAAGACTGTGAGGTGAGAGTGTAGAAGGAAAGGGAATGGACTCTGAGGATGACAGGGACCTGCCTTTCTCATCAAACCCTGTAAGTCACTGGTATTCTTGAGTAACATAGTGTTCTGGGCTTCCTTATAGTCTGAGGATGCTTGAGGATACTCTAACCCCAAAAAACAATTCAAGTCAACTTGGGAAGCAGGCTATGCTTATGCCTCCAAATCTCCTAATCTTTGAGTAGGTTAAGCCCTCATGCATGTACACATACCACATCATCATCATCATCATCATCATCATCATCATCATTTCATCCTGATGGATGCTTGGTGATCTAGCCAGTAGGAAAATGTGGTATGAAAAATGTTTCTTTCCAGCATCTTCAAGGGCCTCAACAGCCCTGACACTTTTTGCTCAAGTGGGTGAAAACACTTTAAGCACCTGTTTAGGATTTCCAAGCTGTAGGCAGTTGCCTGAGGCACCTCATAAGAAGTACTTTGCTCTGGCAGCTGCAGCAGGTCTGATGTGTCTCCACTGAAGAGGGCTCTCAAACTGTGAGGTCAGTAGAAGGTTGCATGAGGTGAGGTGGCAATCCTGCTCCTTCTAGAGCTAGGCAGACCTAAGTTTTTAAAATTAGTTTATTTTTATTTTTATGTGTATTAGTGTTTTACCTGCATGTATGTAAAGAGCATGAAGTTCATGCAATACCTGAAGAGGCCAGAGGAGGTCATCAGATCCCTTGCAACTGGCATTACAGATAGTGATTAGCTGCCATGTGGGTGCTAGGAACTGAACCCTGGTCCTCTATAAGAGCAGCCAGTGCTCTTAACTGCTGAGCCATCTCTTTAGCCCCCACAGCCAAGTTTTTGTGGAAATCGGAGAGCAGTTTCACTGTAAGAGGATCACATTCCACAAGAGGCAAAAAGGAAGGGGCTAAGATGAAAGCCCAGTCTTTCAAGAATCTCAGCATTTGCACTGATGGCTGCTGTTGTTCCTGGGAGACAGTGAGCAGTGGCTGGTGAAAGTGCTGTGGTGGTGATCCCTATCTCAGGCTAGCCATATGCCTCCATAATCATCCTTTTCAACTCTGAGTGTTTGCAAGCCTTAGCTTCAAGCACCTCTCTCTGGTCCTCTACCATCAGTGGTCCCATTTCCCAGCTTCTCAGCCCTCCCTCCTCCTAGCCATCCCCTTTGCATGGATGCCTGTGTGTCTATGTACATGTGTGCACTCATGTGCATGTATATGCTCCATCTAGCTTCCACCATGAGACTAAGAACTCCAGAAGGACCAATCACATCCCTTTCTGCTTCCTGCCTGTCTCCAGTGCCCACTGACATTGAGTTGCCCCCATCTAGCTGGTTTCTCTGTTTTGCAAAGTCTCAGAGCCCAGCAAAAGACGGGGAATACCTCCCAGGCTCTTTGCATGGGCCTCTCCTACACTGGGCTTATAATGGCTGGGCAAGTAGAGAGGCCAGTGACATTCTCAGGGGCTGGTGGCCTGAAGGACCAGAGCTCCTCCTGGCAGCTTCTCTGTACTTTTGTAGTGTCCCAGCCCTGTGGGAAGCAGTGTGGTGGCAGTGAACAATCATCCCTTCAGTCTCAGAGTGGGAATATGGGTGGCTGAAGCCCTATGGGGCCACAACAAAGTTGTGGCAAAGTTGGGCAATAGAAGATAGGATAGGGGACTCTTCTCACCACCCTCTCCTTGGCCCCAGCTCTCCCTGGGAGGAGCTTCAGGCTAGAGCTCCAGCCACACTGTAACTCAGCCATGTACCAGGCATATTAATAATTCATGCAAATTTTCAAGTTCAGTGCTGTGTCAAAAATAGAAATGCAATTGTCTACCATCAAATTAAAAACATAAAGTTCTCAGCCCCAAACTGTTCTCGTCATCTGGAAAAGATGTGTTAGGGAAGAAAAGAACCAAAAGCATCTCCATGGCTCAGCTTGCTCTCTTCCCCCTTTTGAAGCTCACCAGCCCTAAGCAGGCTCTCAGGAGAGGCCTCTCCAGGTTCAGGGCCACCTTCCTGGCTGCTGCTGGGTCTCCACAGTACTGTGCACACTGGATACCTGGAACTTGACAGATGATGAGAGAGCCTTTCCAAAAATGAGTTAGGGTGGGAGAAGTAGGTAGGTGAGAGTGAGAGAGGTGGTGTCATCCTTTCTGTTCTCCGGGGGCAGGGGGATTTGGGCATTAGGAGACCTGGGTTCTAGCTCCCTTCACTTGTTATGTGGTTTCAGGCAGGCTACTAGCTCTCCCTGCTCTCAATTCTCTCATCCAAGAAAGGATGTTAAATTAAGAGTCAAGCTAGGAGAGCCAGTTTCTGTGACCTCTTACCTAGATCCTCAATACAGAAAGTCAGCTCAGATGGAGCAGTCAGGGCAGGGTGAGAGCCTGAGTCCTAATTACATAGACCTCCCTCCTCCTCAAAGAGCTGGAAGTTTCTGTGGAACACAGAAGAAAGCCCTTTACTCTTGATCAATGAATCCAAGTGCAGCCGTGCTTGCATGCTGCCTTTTTCAGAGCCACCTGGGGAGCTCATTAAAGATGGAGGTCCAGGAAGCTCAAGTGTAACCTGTGCCCTTCCTCAACTCCAGCATGCAGCCATATTTGGCCTCACTGGATCTCTAAGGTCCCTTCCTGCCTAGACACACCCGTGAGTCTACAGGTGTCCCTCCTGGCTGCCCTTGGAACCCTGGTGTTCACAGTCTCTTGCTCTGCTCAGAAGCCCAGCCCTTAAGCCCAGGGGAGGTACCGGCTGTGGATTCAGTGTAGAAAGGCATCTTCAAAGGCTGACAGCCTCTCAAGAACTTGGGTCTATAGGGGAGGCACTGACAGGAGGAGTGGGGTTGGTGAAAAAAGGCTGTGGGAGGACAGTGGCATCCAGGGATCTGAAACAAGCAGGTATGGAGCACTTCAGGGCTTGATCAGTACCTCGGATGTGTAGTCTCATCTGAGGCTCCCACCTACCATAGTAGCCAAGCTGGTCGGGGCTTTCTGTGGACAAAGCAGATTTGTACATAGGAAAGCAGAGACCAGAGTCAGGAAAGATTTTGAGGATGTGACACCTGAACAAAGGCCTCTGGTAGGTGAGGTTATAATTCTGCCCCCTGTCCTATAGTGGGGGATCCCAGACAGGAGTCCTGAGTTGGGAGAGGCTCTATAAGAAATACCAAAGCACTTGGGAAAATTCAGGCTCTGGGGTCCACAGAGTCAGCATGAGTGTGTGAGCTCAGGGGCAAAGTTTCATAAACCCAGGTGAACCAGCTATCTATCCTCTTCAACACTTTCTGTCATCTCTAACAGCTCCTATGGGTACTCTGTCAATGTGGCTTTTCCAGGGCACAAGGGTGTGTGGGGGGGGTGCGGTCTGATACAGACTCAAATAGAGAGCCAATCTTTTTTAAAATTTTATGTGTATGAGTGTCTTGCCTACATGTGTGTAAGTACACCCATGTGTGCGATGCCAGTAGAGGACAAGAGGGAGAGCCAATCTTTGAGACAGGGTCTCATGTAACCCAGGCTGGCTTTGAACTTGCTATGTAGTTAAAGATGACCTTGAACTTCTGATCCTCCTGCCTGTACCACCCCAGTGCTGGGATTATAGGCATGTACCACCATGCCCAGTTTTATGCAGAGTTGGGGTTTGAACCCAGGGCTTATGCATACCAGGCAACCACTCTACTGAGCTATACCCCAAGCCCTAGACAGGGCCAATCATATGAAGAGAATTCATCTCTTGTGCTTGTGAGAGCCCACAGACTCAGAAGTTAAATAACTTGCTTCAGACCACACAGACACTGGACTAGGTGGGATTCAAAGCTGTGTCCATGATACCACTGTCAGTGTCCATGATGGCTTGTGACCATAAAAGGCAGAATAGAGGGAAATGTAGCCTTTCACAGTCTTGTGATGGATGCTGAAACCTCTACCCACCTAGTTCCTGAGGGCCCACCTACCGTCCAGCCTGGAGGGCAGGCACACTCGCCAGTGATGTGGTGGCAGGTGCCCCCATTCTGGCAGGGGCAGCGCAGCTCACAGTGAGCTCCATGGCTCCCAGGAGGGCATAGCTCCTCGCAGCTGCATGGAGAAGCAGAATGTCAGTAGTGTGACCATCAGCACCCCAGGGCTCCCTACTGAGTCCACAGTCAACATTAATTGATACTCATCTTGGATGCAGTTCTGTCCCCCACCAGCAGAGGAGGCAGGTCTCAGATAAAATGCACTGACCTGGGCCAACACTCATGGGAACACTTAGTATAAAGGAGGGTGTTCTGGGGAGGAGGCTGAAGAGAAGAGGAAGCCATTTTACTTGGGCCTTTAAGGTGAAACTAATTTCACTAAGAGGGTGGAAGGGCATGCCAGGCAGAGGGAACACTGTGAGCAAAGGGCTGATAAGTGGCTGTGAGTTCTGCCTTCAAACACCTGCCTATTTTCAAAGTGGAAGAATCCAAAGAACATCCCTTCCAGGCCGAGGAAGGCTCTGGGCTGCCATGTGTGGAGATTGGGCACTGTGGGAGGGTGGGAACAGTCTGCATCACAGTCTTGTGGTCTTGGGCCAGTGGCCCTGGTGTCCAGCTCAAAGGTTTTGGGAGCTGACCAGACACTGGGGCAAGAAACCCCCTTTCCCCCAATCCAGGATATCTTGTGGTCAGAGTCCTTGGCTGCTGCCTCAGGACCTAGGATGGATGAATCTAGACCCTTTACCAGGGTTGGTGAGAACACCAGTCTTGTCTGTGAGACTCTCAACTAAGGAGTCTTGGAGGCCATCTGTCAATGTGGCTTTCCCAGGGCACAAGAGTGAGGGGATATGTGGGGTCTGGTACAGGGAAGTGAGAGGCACTGGAACCCTCCCAAATCTGCAGATGATAAATGCCCAGAACTCTCACTAGCCTACACCCCAGATGGCCTGTAAGCATCAATCAGCCTGGGGCAAGCAGAGGCATACACTGAAGGCCAGAAAAGAAAGCCAAGCGCACTTCCAGGGCCCCTCACCGGGAAGAGCCCTTTGGGATGTAGTCAACATGTCTGTTCATGTGACTTGTCACTTGGTGTCCAGCAGAACCAGCCACCCAGGCCCTACATCTGAGACTTAGATTCTGCTGCACTGGAGGTCAGAGTGCAGGTGTCACAGCCAGGACCTTCTGCCCTCATCACCCTGCTCATTCGGGTGCTAGGAAGTCGCCAACAGGTCCATGCAAGTGGCTGAGGGCCTCTAGACAAGCCCTGCCCCTAGGCCTGCTCGGATCCTCCAGGCCCCACCTTAAGCACTGTTTTGTCCCTAGACACAAGCATATAGGCCACGCCCTATTACCTCCCTCCCAGCCTCTCCATCTTTTCTGGCTCCGCCCACATTCCCCCCGCCCAGAGCCCCTCCCCCACCCCGGGCAGTTCCTCCACTCCTGCGGTCCTGATCCCGCCCTGCCTTCAGGACCGCCCTCCAGGCCCCGCCCCTCCAGGTCCCACCCTCCCCACTCACTAGACACCCGTGTAGCCAGGTGCGCAGAGGCACTCGCCGGTGCGCGGGTCGCAGCTGGCGCCGTGGCGGCACTGGCACGGCAGCTGGCAGCCCTTGCCATGGGTGCCGGGCGCGCAGAGCTCCTCGCAGCGCCAGCCTCGGAAGCCGGGAGCGCACACACAGGCGCCGGTGATGGGGTTGCACAGGGCGCCGTTCTGGCACTGGCACCTGTTGCTGCAGTGGGGGCCCCAGTGCTCGCTGTCGCAGCCTGCAAGAGAGGACACACAGGGTCAGGGCGTTCCTTAGAACCGGGGGCCACATGGCCTTCTCATCTCTGCGGCATTCTTCCCTGGAGTTCAAGAAGCAGCAGGAGGTGTCTGGGTGGAAACTTGGAGTCCTCCATCAGTTCTTCACCGAGCTGAAGACGCAGCCTCAGAAGGTCTCTCCCAGCCCGGCCACTTCCCTCCAATGCAATGACTGCCCCGTGCCCCCACTTCTGAGCGCAAACCTGCTCCCAGCTCTCTGCTTCCCTCTGTCTCTGAGAAGCTCTCCTTGATCAGTCTGACTCAGTTCCTCTGGGTTGGGCCTTTTCTACTGTCCCCTCTTCTTTGTGATCAGCTCTTTCTCTTAGGGCCGCTGTGCCCGGCCTCAAGGCTGGCTGTTCAGACTCGTCCCTTCTCACTCTCTCTGGTCTTTACTCGGCAGACATTTTGTCCAACTCCCTGGGCCTACCCAGGACCCTGCCTCCCATCATCCTTGCCCTCTTTCCCCCTTCCTGAACACCTCTGGCCCCCTAGTTGCTTCTTTCTCAGTTCAGTTTCTTCACCACCTTCCAAAGCCGAATCGGGTGGGGAGGTGGGGGTGTTTTTATGATGTATTCCTGGGAGGTGATAGCGTTCTAGAGTTTTCCCTGTAATTAAATGTTTCTAAGAGTGATAACAGAGCCAGCTTTGTGGAGACCCAGACTCTACAGTCTACTGTGGAAAGGGATGGAATGGCCCAGAGCCAGAGGAGATTCACAGTCTGCTGTCACCTCTCACCTTGACCTCCTGGTGCATACAGAACTCACAAAAACAAGCTATCCCCAATCTCTAGCCTCATTCACTAGGATTCTGGGGTGGGAGTGGAGTTCAGGCATGGATAGGCACAAATAATGTTCTATAAGTGGCAAGAAAGATGGCTTCCAGTTAAGGTGATTGGGTTGTGGGCGCCTGGGAGAGCAGACATGCAAGTGGACCATGACAGATGGCTCACTTGTCTGCCTGCTGGAAAACCATTAGTCTTGCTTTCAGCAAGGGAAGTCCCATGTTGCCCATGTTCCAAAGAGACCTTCAGTCCTCCGCAGCTGGATTGGTGATGACTCTGCTGATCTTTGTACCCCAGCTTGCTAGGATTTTGACAGAGGAAAGAGGCAGGTGAGTGGAACTGGGAAGGTGTCCCTGGGATCAGTCATTGTGAGCAAAGATACAATAGCACTTGTGTTGAGCAGGCATAAGAGGACAGAGTTTGATGTGGTCTGTGAATATGAGGGATTCTGATGGGCTGAAGGGCTTTAGGGTGGATCACTCCACCAGCGCCACTAGTCTCACACAAATCTTTCCTGCTGACTAGATCAGTGTCATGGAGACAAGACCACTGAGTCTCAGATCCCCATCACACCATCTTTGCTAGCCCCTTCTTCACCTGTGCCCTGAATATTGACATGCACACACTGGGCTGCTAGATTGCCAGTGAGCAGTACCCTGCACTTCCACCTGATAGTGAGTGTGGCAAAAACCTAGTTCACTCAGAGAGACAGTCTCTTCTTACACTGACGGGCCCACAGGACAGAGGGACTGAGTAACAGTTCAGCATCTCCCAGCCCACATTCTAAGGAGGGGAAAAACTGGCAAAATTACCCACTGTGTTCCTCCCCCGCTTTGTGTATGTGTGGTATTGGTTTATATATGCATATTTGCTTATGTGTTTTTGCACATGTGTATACATGTGTGTGGAGCCCTGAAATGATGTCTAGAATCATCTTCCACCACTCTTATTTGTTGAGGCAGGGTCTCTGAGTCAAATGCAGAGCTCTCAGATATGGCTAATTTCAATAGCCAGGTTGCTCTGGGGATCCCCTGTCTCCACCTTCCTGGCTAGAATTACAAGCAGGCTACCATGTCTACCTGGCATTTTTTGTGGTTCTGGCACTTTAACCACGGAGCCATCTCTTCAGCCTGCGTTCTCTCTCTTCTTTGTTGCTAAGCACATGTAGTTAGCATTTAATATGGCCATGCTAGGAATCCATTATAATGACAACCATATTTAAATGTCTCCTGTGTGCCAGTTGCCAACTTGGAAGTCCTAGCTACATGATCAAGATTTAATCCTCACAACCCTAAGATTCAGGCTTCATTATTTCCTCATTTTATAGACAGGGAAATAAAGGGTCAGATAAGCTACATGGTTGCCCAAGGTTACAGTAGGGCAGGCCCAGGCTTTCTGGTTCCAGCTTACTGAGCGGGTAAACGAGACACTCGCTGGGGAATATTCCAAGGTGGAAAACTTGGGGGTGGCAGTAGGGACAGGATGGCATCCACAAAGCACAGGTGAGTGACATCACAGGGATTGACCACTTCCTCTGCTCACCATTGTGGGCACCCTCAGGATCCTGCATCTGTTGGGACCATAGTTACTCCCCTGAGACCTTGGCTCTATAGCAAACTATGGGAGTCCAAAGCCCGTAGCCCCAGCTGACCTGAAACCAACTATGTAGACAAGGCTGGCCTCGATCTCACAGAGATCCATCTGCCTCTGCCTCTCCAGTGCTAGATCTAAAGGCATATACTACCATGCCAAGCTTTTCTTTTCTTTTTTGAGAGAAAGTTTCACTATGTAGCTCTAGCTGGCCTCGAACTCTGGATCTTCCTGCTTCAGCCTCGCCAGTTCTGGGATTACAGGTGTGTACCATCATATGCTGCGTGGTGAGCTCCTTTCTTTCTGGCACAGCTCAAAGCCAGTAGGAGGCAAAACTGTGCCTTGGGTATGGAGACAGAATGTCACCACAGAGTGTGTGTACCACCCTTGGTTGCAGTTTCTACCTGTCTACTCAGCATCTCCCAAGCACACACTAGTGCTGTGTTGTAGAATGTTGTAGAACACAGTCTTCCAAGCATAGAACCATTTTCATCTTCATCAGAGCCCCTGTGACCACTTGCAAATGACCCCGAAGATCCAGTGTGTTGTCTTTCCCTCACAGGAGTAGTAGGAAAGGTCATTAGACCCTCACCTGAGATTCTAGCCTCTCTTTCCTATGCCTTCCTCCCAGCTGTGTGGAATTCTGTCCCAGCTGCATGAAGTCTAGGGATGGTGTTAGGATACATAGAGAGTAGAAGGCTAGCTGAAGAGGGCTCCATCTATGCAGCTATGGGGAAGTTGTCATCCATGCTGGGGTGAAGCTGCTTTTGGGTCACCAACACTCCTATAGGTAACCCTGTGCCCAAGCTCTATAAGTAAGCCTAATAAACTCATTGGTTTGCCAAGTTGAACATTGGAATTATGACCTTGATCTGTCTGTGGAATCTGTTATTTTGGTGCCCTGGGGTGAGCAGATATTTGTTCATGTCTCCTCAGGACAGGAAAAATTCACACAACATGCCAGAAGGCACCTGCCAACTCAGGGTGAGCAGTTCATTGAGGAAGAATCACAGAATTGGGTACTCTGTGAAAATCCTAGAACTGGGGTGGTTTGGGCCTCTCTCTCAATTGGCTAGTTCCTCCAATGGGCAGGGCCTGACGCTGAGCGTGGACTAGAAGGGGCTACTGGGAGCCACCTTGGGACGGAAGCCAGGAGCTACGGGGTAGTGCTGGGGAAAGCGCAGCCAACCGTAACAGCTCAAGGACAGAATGGACTGACTCTTGTGGACCTGGGGTGAGATTGCTGGCCCCTGAGGCGTGAGCGAATGCTAGCGGGGACTATGGTAGTCGTGGCACGGTCTGATATGGCGGGCTCTAAGCTGGGCCACCGGAGGTGTGGGGCTAGGCACTGGGTTCTCATTCCTTTGTAAGTTAATAAAGGCACATAAAATATATTATATGGTTTGACTGATAGTGCAGGAGACCCAGAGGAAATTTCGGGTGACAGAGCCACTGCAGAAGCCCAGATGACTACAATTCTATTCATTCTATTATGCCTGACGTTCATACCATACACCACACAGTGAGTTTGTATATGTAAGCATGCCTATGTTTGTGTCTTAGTGTTTATATGGCCCCTAAAACACAAGGCAAGAGTTGAAGAGATGGCTCAATGGTTAAGAGAAGCTGTGAAAGCAAGAGTGCCTGAGTTCAAATCCCCAGCACTCACATAAAAGCCCAGCATGTAACCCCAGCATTGGGGGACAGAGATAGGTAGCTCTCAAGAGTTCACTGGCCAGCCAGCCTAACTTTAGATTCAGTGATAGACTATCTCAAAAAATAAAGTGGAGGACCACCTTATTTTTAAATTTTACTTATTTTTATTTATAATATTACTTTGTGTTTTATTAAAAGGTGCTTGCTACCAAGACTGCTGACCTGATATTCCAAACCTAGGACCCACATGGTGGAAGGAGAGAAAGGACTCCTGAAAGTTGTCCTGTGACCTATACACATACACACATAGCAACAGTAGACTGCAGAGAAATTTCTCCCCAGAGTAACTTAATGGGAAAAGCATTAGGGTTCATGGGGATCAACTTTAGTTATCTAGAAAATTCACTTAAAAACACCTCATTCCTGAGGGATGACAGAAATGAGGCAGAGCTCAATGAGTCAGTTATCTATCCTGCTCAAGGCCAGAGAGCGTGATCATCATTGCAGTTATGGCCCCACACCCTGTCCCAATTGGCCAGGCCCTCACACGGGTTTTTTCTTTCTCCCCCACCCCCACGGTCACACAGGCTCCTTAATTATATTTGGTTGCTGCTGGTTTTTCAGCATCTCAGGGCAGCTACTGAGGGTTTACAGGGAATCTAGCACCTCATAATCTGGCAAATCAGCTTCCTCCCTACTGACCTCTTCAGGCTTCAGGGCCCAGGCCTTATGGGCTACTGGGTCCCCATGAGGGGGGAATGGCTTGACTCTTCGCTGATCTCACCACTGGACAGGCTTCTCAGTCTACAGCCACAGGTGATGGAGCGGTTACAACCCACCAGACCAAAAGCAAAGGCATAAACTAGATTTTCCTCACTTAGGGTCATGTGTGCATTATTTTAACCATTTTTCAGATAAGGAAGACGGACTTAGAGA